GTAAATTTTGAAAAGGGGCCATTTGACTCCGCTTGGTACGTTTAGTGTTAAATGAGATGCGCTGTGAGCGTTGCCCGCGACTAACGGAGGGTTAAGACGAAGCTATTTCTACCAAAATCAGTCAAAATGGCTGGTCTTCAAAAATACGTAATAATAGAATATTTTCATATTGATTTATTACTTTCTTACAAAAGAAATCCCATATAGTGCAGTGAATACCAAATTTGTCGGACTTTGTTCGGCAAATATTTGATTGGATAAATCTGCCATCTGGCTTTAGATGGAAAGAGTTGTTTGTCAATTGTAATATTTGCACCTAGTTTGTAGCAACTCTGACTATTTCGAATAAACTTATCCCATACAGCTGGTATCGAAGCAAATTTATCACTTTTTCGTGAAATCATTTCATGGTGTTGGAAAAGAAGTTTGGTCCTCATTTCTGTTTCAAATTTTTCGTTTCGTTGCATACAAAATTTTTTACCCAAAACTTGAGAAGCTTCTAATTCCGTGCAAGATATCATACGTTCAAGCATATGTCAATTAGTAAAGAAAATGCGCAATTCTTCTGATAATTATCACCATCGTATCGAACGATAGTATAATTTCTAAAAACGTGTGACAAGTTGTACGAGACTGATTAACTTTCCCTTTTGGGTTCGGTGAACAGATTGTAGGGCTCTTTTACACTTTGACAAGTACCAGCCATTTTGACTTTGGTATTGGTATAAGTGGCCAGGATGCAAAATTATTTCGATTTATTTAATAAACAGAAATAAAATAAAATTTAGTTGTCACATACAAAAATCATTACATCATTGCGGAAAAAGAAAAATGTAACGTGAAATAAAAATTTTAAAATAAAATTGTCAAACCAGTCGTTTCGACTGATGTGGTAGTTCTAGTGTTAATTCGCACGCATTTTAACCCGTTCATACGCTCGTGGAATCTATCCCGATGGAAGCCTAAGCTGGTCGATAATTCTTCCAATAAGTTTCGAACATCAACACCGACAGGAAGTGGTCGTTCCTTCTGCCCCGGCATGGCGTGCAAAATTCCACCGGTTGATTTTCCCGATTAATCTCGTGTGCACGTTTAAGCACGAATTCGGTGTTGGCCATTATTCGTTCGGGCCTTACGACTTATCGGTTGTCAAATCCGTTCGATTCCACCGGCGAATGCGTTCGACGACTCGTTAATCGCGATTGTCGATCGCTGTAAGCGACAACCGCGGTGCCGTGGCATGCGAAATGCCAACCGGTCGATATCCATGGCCCAAAGCGGTCGAGCAACTTTGATGTGACGTGGCCGAATTGATTCATGGCTCATTGTCACGCACGGCTCGCGCGAACGATCGCGAGCTAATTATCCGCGCCGGTGTTCCAGGACCCTGGATCTGTCGATACATGGTCTTGTTACAATCGCGGGATTCGCGATTCTCCGATTTATCCGATCTCTCCACTGTTTTTACGAGCGACAGGCTGCTTCTTGTACGTTTGTTGTCGAACAACTGGTGATCTTTCAGAGATTCTATATGTATAGTCAAAGTTTCGCGAAACGTTTAACGTTTAATATAAAATAAATACGTGTTTACCTCAAGTGACACATTGAACGATCAAACATGCAAGTGATTAATGTCATTCGTATTTTTTTCCGATAATCGTGAAAATACGACATATTTAAAAAGAAATGAAACAAATTAAATACAACTTGTAACCTTCGTTTTTCAGTAACGATTGATACAACCTTTTCTTGGTCTTTATTTGCGAAAGTTCTTGTCATTCTTGAATAATGCGTTCCTCCAACTCCTGGATCGTGTCAAATTGTCGATTGACGAGCGTGGTCAGTTCGCAACATTCCTCCCTAGGAATTTTTTTTCTATAATATTCAAATCGGCAGACTTTGCAGGCCAAATATGCTTTGAGTTGCAAAGAAATCTCTCTCAATTGCTGCTTTATTACTCACTGTTCTGTTGAAATATGAAATTTTGACTTCCAACTCCAGCGAGTTACATTATCTCTAACTTAGACTTCAGTTAAATTTTTCTGCATCATAGTGTTCAACCGATGACCAACGAACTGTACAACTGTTCTCTTCTAACGTCGTGGAAGTACCATTCAAGTTAAATCTTTCTAAAATTCGGTGAACTACTACTAGCGTGTTATCTTTGGTTCGACACGTGTAAATCGTCACGATTATCAGCTTCATTCAGTGTACTGTATATTAGTGGCAACAGTTGTATTAATGGCAGCGTTAGGCGTGTTATACGGCGCTATTAGCGGGAATACTAATGATAATAGTAAAAAGGATTATCAGGTACATTTGCTGACTGATTAGGTGGCAGTTGATAGTCGATTCCAAGACGAAAAGAAACGACTACTGGAAAGAAATGTTCGGGACAGTTGGTGGAATTGGTCCAATCGGATGGAATGGGCATTCTGTTACTGTTCTCGATCATAAACTCTCCGTGATTCTGTATCGCGAACAACTTCGATCTCTATGTGCATAATTCGATAAATAACCTGTGCCGGTCGTTACGCGAGAGACGGTGGTACGAATAACGACCTATCTTTTCCGCTAATGAACGTTGCGTTGGATAAATGAACCATATAAAGTTATCAAGAGGAGGCAAGACTTATCTGATCGAACGCTATTTTTCCTCTCTTTTGTACGAGGAACAAGTTTGTGCTGTTGGGACGCACACGCGAGTCTCTTAAACGAGTATATTAAACGAGAGGATACTTCTGAATATTTCTCCTCTTAAATTGATAGTTTTTCAGAGATAGCGATAAAACAACGCGTATCGACCAGGCATCATCGTGCCCGATGATGCTCCGAAAAATAAAACTCTGCTACCTGCTGAACGGACGAGAGCCGACGAAGGAGTCTCGCCCATCGACCAGCCAGATATACATATACATATATACATTTAACGATTGCCCGAAGCAGACTGGCCGACGATCTTATCGACGACGGGCCCGTGGTCGGATGACGGGCAAGAATTAGGCAATTAACCCACCGCTTAATTGCTAATTACTCAAGGGTG